GGGTGGCGGCGGGGAGGAGAAAGAGAAGGTGATTTGCCACATAGATATCTGATGGTGAAAGCAGGCACTGGCAGCTACTGCAGGTCCTTTGGTGTATCAGAAGTTTGGATGTGAGCTTACCCTACAGGTAGCTCATGCCTGTCATGGGCCAAAGATAGCATTGGTTGTCACAGTGGACTGATGGCAGGGATCGCTTTGCTCCTAGCCTGGGCTTTTGGACGCCAAGCCCATCTGCTCTACAGCTGGGAAGACATGTTGCTTTCATTTAACAGCACTTTCTCTTTTGCATTTTTCCCTTTCCAGGAGCAATTGAGCGGTGCACGTACATCAAGTACCACTACTCCTCAGCAACCATTCCCAAGAACCTCACCTACAACATCACCAAGACAATCCGCCAGGATGAGTGGCATGCCTTGCGTAAGTGTTGCTGGCTTTCTTCGGTGTTCTCCTCGCGTGCAGACAGAGGTACTCTCTGATAAATAACAACAGAGGCTTTGACCAACGACTGCTCAGAGCCCTCTTCTCGCATACAGTTATTCTTTGTAGCAGACCGATCGATTTGTTCTTCGGACCTACATCTCTGTTGCTGCTGCTGACTAGAAATTCTGCTGAGGCATAAAAAAGTGGTGTCAGGGAAGAGGCATTCATATGCAGAGATTAATACTGAGTTAAATACAAAAATGAATAACAAAATCAATGCCCTGTTTTTTAGTTCAGTAGAATGCTCTGTACGTGAGCGTATTCTCATGCAGTTCATGCTGCTGCGGAGTTTCCTGCTTCCAGCAGAATTCGGTGCTGACTTTTGTTGCAGAATATGTCTTGCTGCCTGCAGCTCTTGGGTGAGTGTGCCATCACTCTCCCTTGAAGATGTAGAAAGAGGAATGCTGCACCCCTTTAAGGCACAGGGAAGGAGCTTAGCCTTTAGTGATAACTGTAACCAGTGGTCACCAACTTGTAACATTTGCTGAAGCAACAAGATCTGACAGGGATGGAATTGCCTTGAGATGTATTGGCTGGCCTCAAAGCTTTTCTCCTTCTCATCTTGGAGATGGAGAAAGGTTTGCACTGACAAAATGGAAGAGGTAGGATTTCACAAGGAAGGATGCCACAGCAACTTGCTCTTGTTACTGCATAGTCATGGGAACTGATGAGTGTCCTGAGCTCCTGTGTCTGTGGAAGCAGTTAACAGCTCCTTGAAGATGGCAGGGGTCAAGGGATGCTGAGTCTGATTGAAAACCTTGAGAGGTGGTAGTGAGTAGCTGCTGGCCAGACTCTGTCAGCTTCAGAAATGTGCCAAGACCTTTGCTGTACCCAGGGTCTATTTCACTCCTGCCTTATGTGGCTGTTGCATTGGGAAAGTCCCTTTTAAGCTCTGGGAAGGAAGAGGTGTAATGGTATAGTCCCTTTCCAGTACTGGTCAGGCCTGGTTTGAGAGTCATTGGTGCTTGTAGGCCTGCCCAGTCAAATCTGGTAAAGCATTAAGAAAGTTCTAGAAGGTCTTGCTAAACTGGGAATTTTTTGGAAATGTGTCTGTGGATAAATATGTAGTCTAACTGTGACATGACGAAGAACAGGGATGTTGAACTCATGCCTCTTAGAAGGTTATAAGAAGCTGGTTTTGCAAAATACTATGCTGTGCTTATTTGTCCTGAAATGAGAAAATTGGGTGGTTCAGTTCCCTTCAGGTTTTCAGCTACCACTTGTCATCTCTGCTGGTGACATTGCTCATCTGTAGGCAAAAAGCAGCACACCCCCCAAGACATCTTCTGTTAGGGTTCATGTGGCAGTAGGGTCTTTGCTTTATGACTTTTTTGTGGGTTTGCTGCTGCTGTGACCAACAGTGACTTTTTTGCAACCATCCAGTGGGAATCTCACTGTTTAATGTGGGAATTATTATCTTAATTGAGTTCATCTTTCTCTTGTCAATGGCTCAAGTAAAGGTTTATTCTGAAGCTGTCTGTACAGTGTTTCCCCCAAACTTTAGTAGCATTACCGATATGCCTGGCCATGTAAGACACTTGATGTGTGCATTCCTTGGTGAGATCATGGAGTTCCTGAGCCTGGTGTGTTAGCAGCTGGTGGGGGCCTTCAGTAGGGCGGTCATCAGTCTCCAAATGGGCAGTCTAGACACTGTGCTCACACATTTACATATCTTATTTGGTCTGAGGCACTTTCAGGGTGAGGCTGCTTGTTCCCTCCCCGGGGAGGGTACACCAGGTGTGTGGGTGTGAACGCATATTTCTGACCCAGATTTGCTTGCTAGTTGATGAGTCAGACAAGTGTAGGTAGATGTAGATAGAACTGGAGTTTGAATCTCTCTCTCTAAAGGCAGGAAAGAAAACTTTGCTGAAGCTCACTTTTCTCCAGAGCAGCTAGGTGCAATGGTGAGTGTGTGGTCAGCCACTGGAGGACCCTGGAGGCCGCTGCATTTACGAACAAACAGAACCTATATGATTCTTTTCTGTGCAGGAACGATGACCTTGCTGTTTTTCTGTAAAACATCCGTTTTAAAAGACAAGGACCATAGCAATCTTTTCAAATAATGCTGTGGTTGAGAGGGATGTTCTCCCTTCAGAAAACGTTTGCAGTGGAGTAGATGTGAAGTGGGGTAAGACGAAGTCCCTTCAGAAAGTCACTGTCATTTTAGTCCCTGCCTTAGCAGCTGACCTGGCTCTGTACTTCCGGACTAGCTTCATCCAGGGCACAGCTACTTCAGCTCGCCACTGCTCATCCTGAGGCAGAAGAACATTTCCAGTTCAGCCTGGCCATTATTTTCCTCTGAACAACTCTCTGTTCAGAATTTCCCTTTCACTGCGTGTTGTGACAATCGGTGAAGGAGCAGGGCCCAGGCCTGATGTTCGCTATGCTCTTGCCATGGGTAATTTCTCAGATCTGTGGCATAAGATGGAAGAAAAGAAGAACAAAAACCCCAAACCCAAATCTATTTTCTGAGGGAACACTGGGGCAAAATGGCATCCTGGAGAATTTCAGAGGAACCGGAAAAAGGAAACCAGAGTGTCTGGTCACACTACAAAAGAGAATGCCTTTTCTAGGCTGAAGCTACTGCCGTCCTTTGACGTGTCTGTATTTCAGTAGTGGTTATTTTCCTTCCCTGGTGCATGGGGAGCAAACTGTGGGTCTGGGAAGGAAATCTATTTCTTTGCACCTGTACTGGGTAGAAGAGCAGAAGAGAGGCCTACAGCTGTGCCTAGCAGACTGCTTTTTTCATATTGGTGGGCAGGAGTGATGCTCCAGCAGTTTCTCTTGAATTGCAGGTATGAGTGAGGGGCAATTCATTTGGGGCTGGGGACCCATGGCACCAGTCAGAGCAGAAAGCGTATATTCCTCTGGCTGTGCTGCCAGCTATGCTAGAAGAACCCAGAGGAGCAGCTGGACCTGGAGGGAATGGTTGGAGCTGACTTCATAGTTTTTGATTTTATACTTTTTTATCCTGTTTGACATTTTCAAGATGGAACCTTTGCTCCAAATTGATTGTCTATGGCAGCATGAGCTGGAGAAATAGGAATTCACTTCTCTGCAATCACTTCCTCTCAACTCCCTCTGGTTAAACGGGGATGGAGGGAAGGATGATGGTAGTATTACCAGCTTGTACCTGTCAGGAGGTAAACGTTCATCTAAGTGGACAAAACAAGTGTCTGTATGAGCTCGGAGGGGAAGGGAGGAAAGAAGGAAGGCTGTGTGCAACAACCCTGAGCACGAGTAACCGTCTTCTCATGGAAGACGCCAGTGTAATAGTATGATTGAGTCACTATTAGACATTTACCTTGTCACATTTTGGCCCCAATCTTGTGCACAGAAACTTGGTCCATAATTCTGGCTTCTGAAAAACTTCAGCAGCATCACTGATGCTTTTCGATATGGAGGAATGTATTATTAGAACAGAAACTTAAAAAAAAAAAATGTCTGAACAGTTCTGTATTTATTCACATATTTGGTTCCGTGTGTTTTATGCTGTTCTTGTAGGTTGGTTTTCAGATTTGTGTTCACAAAACATGGGGAAAGTGATCATGGCAGGGTTTTGAGTTGTGGATTATGGTACAGGCATTGGGAGGGGTGAAAGGCAATTTCAGGTGATGGAGTAGGCACTTGAACTGCGTGCTTGTAACGTAAGAAAGTTGACCATGAAAAAGACTGTATTGATGCTAATTTTTTTTTCTCTTGTTCCCAAAACTTCAGGAAACCATTATCTAGTAGATTATGGCAAAGAAAGGTGAAAGGCTATGTTTGCTTTGAAAATGGTAGTACCAGCAAGGCAAAGAGGAGATGTGATAGATTCGATTCGGCATCTTCCAGGAACCACCAGCGCTGCTCTAAAGCCCCTGAGGGGTAAGGTACTCAAAGCCCAGGGAGAATTTAGTCTACTTGCTTACTACTTGGACCAGAACAGAAACCTGTTCTGTTCGTGCTGTTTTGTACCACCAGAAGTACTGTAGGAAAGTCATTCCTTTCTATTGTCTTTACTTTTTCCCCCCTCTCCAGACAGGCTACAGACAACCCAGGCTGTTTGGTTACAGGCTCTAAACTGATCTGCTGCTGCAGTCTCTTAAACAACTGTTTTGTGAAAAAGGGTAACCATGGCACAGAGGATGGATGTAGAGAGGAATTTCTAAGTATGCCTAAGCCAGCTGTCTGCATTTATTGTCTTGCTGGGAAAGTTAGGATTAAAAACTTATTTCAAGGAAGTCAGTGCACAAAAGGGAGGCAGATACAGGTAAGAGGAGAGGGATTGTCTTCATATTTTCTTAGAGTCAGTCTAGCATGGTGATGTTTTATTTTTGCCTGTAACTTCTTTTGTTTAAACCTTATGCTTCCTCGCTCATTTTTACCTTTCGAACATACTTGTATTTGCTGTGGGACTTCTTTGTGTATCCGTTCCTTGAACGATTTCAACAAGAACAACTGTGTAGGTACCACAGGATTCTGGGTCAGCCTGCTGGGGGCTCAGACTTGACTGGAGCCTCACAGGGCTGTGGGTCACTCCACAGTATTCCTCACTGTCGTCTTGGCAAGGGAAGGGTAAAAGGGTTTTTTTTCCAGGGCTACCTTATCTCCAAGGCAGCTGAAGAAAGTCTTGTGGCTTTAAAGCACTGCAAACAAACAAGATGCTGATGAGATCTCTTTTTCTCAGAGAACAAGTCAAACCATTGCCTTCCTTCTGAAACAGGACGAATGCTGCATGGCACTCAGCCTTGGTGTGGCAGAGCTCCCAGTGGCTTGTGCTATATGGCATGACAGTCCTCATCAGAAGAGTGGTGAAAAATTCTTCCTTCTCTCCAAAAGCTTTTATTCTGCTGACTCACAGAGCCTATTGTGCGAGGTAGATAGCTGGGGGTTTAAGTCTGTTTAATCCTTCCTCCCTATATATATATCACAAACCTGAATTTGTACTTTGGATT